AGTAAATCTTCTGTTACTTTAGTATTTGTTATTGATAGTGCCGAGAGAGTGCTAGGTGCTGTACAAACATAAAAGAACTGTCCCTGCCCCAGAACATAGAGGCCATTTTTCTATTTAGAATACTATGTGTCTGGCTTCTGGACTGTAAGTTCTTGGCGCAGAATGTGACTTTCCTTCTCATATTGTAGTGATGAGCAACATATAATAAATACATAATAAATCCATCTGAGGGCAGTGGTCCAGATGTACCCTAGCCCGTTTGTCTAGAGCAACTTCCATCAAAGTGCTTTACAACCATCAGTGAATTTAGTCTCACACTGTGAGGTGGGCAAGTATTATTCTCCCCAATTTAAAAATGGAGAAACTGAGGCACAGATGGATGAACACGACTCACCCATTATCACATAGCAAGTCAGCAGTAGAGCCAGGATTAGAACTCAGCTCTCCTGATGCTCTCCTCTGTGCTTTAGGCACAAGACCACCCTTTCCCTGTACTGTGTGCTCACATGCCACATCAGCGTCCAACTGTACTTCAGTTAATTTCACAGCACGCATAGGGTAATAATAACAACACCTAGCTCTCATATAGCACTTTTCAGCAGCAGAGCTCAAAGCATGTTCCCATTTTACAGATGTGGAAACTGAGGCAGGGGGCAGCTGAGCTGCATTAGCATTACATGGAATGCTGGATGGCCCCGGGATGCAGTATTTATGTTCCTTTAAGTTACCTGCAGTGTTTTGGCTTAGAAGCTGTAGTGTCCCCAGCTGTCCCCTCCCCAGGCCAGGAGAGCAGGTGACTGGTGTGAATGTTCACACATGGTCCTGCTGACACTTGTAGCCTTTGCAGTGTCTCCCCCCTCCCTTGTGAGTTGGGGTCACTCGGTCCATTTCGAATAGTACGTTATCAGTAGGCGTCTTAGGTCACTTCACAGAACCAGCTTCTGCAAATAGCTGGAACAGTTGCTGGGGTGAGCTGAACTCCAGGCTCACTTGCTATGAACGTATCTACTTTCATACCACTAGAGGCTACCTCAGCCCAGTCAGGCCGCTCTGGTTTCACCCTGCGGATGGAGAGATGCAACGGAGAAGTTCCAACTCAGGCGCTGAGCCAGCTGTGGTCACCAGAGAGTTAAATTCACAAGGGTTCACGTAAACCCAAACTCACCAAGGTTTACAAAGCTGAAACAGCCACACATTGTACGTTATTTCCACCAGAGACTATGTGCTACCCTGGTTTATGTAGGGACCTAGGACTGGAAGGAGCCGCCTGGGTCACTGAGTCCAATCTCAGCTATCGCAGGCAATCCCTCGTATCATCCAATTCATATACTGATCA